TTATAGAAAGAGCCCTATATGTGCTAATTGGCACAAAGTGTACTAATAGTTTTATAGAAAGTACTCTGTACATCCTCATAAGAACAGAGCATGTATAGTTTATAGTATTACAGAAAGCACTTTGTACATGCTCATAGCCACAAATAGAAAGCACTCTGTACATGACTATTGTCACAAAGTGTACTAATAATCTTATAGAAAGTACTCTGTACGTCCTCATAAGCACAGAGCATGGATAGTTAATGGTATTACAGAAAGTACTCTGTACATGCTCATAGGCACAAATAGAAAGCACTTTGTACATGCTCATTAGCACAATGTATTAATAATCTTAGAGAAACCACCCTATACATCCTCATAAGCACAGAGCATGTCCAGTTATAGTATTATAGGAAGCACTCTGCACATGCTCATAGGCACAAAGTGTACTAATACTCTTATAGACAATACTCTGTACAGCCTCATAAGCATAGAGCATGTATAGTTAATGGTATTACAGAAAGCACTCTGTACATGCTCATAGGCACAAATAGAAAGCACTCTGCACATGACTATTGGCACAAAGTGTACTAATACCCTTATAGAAAGTACTCTGTACAGCCTCATAAGCACAGAGCACATATATAGTATTACAGAAAACACTCTGTACATGCTTATAGGCACAAATAGAAAGCACTCTGTACATGCTCATTAGCACAGTATAGAAAGCGCCCTATACATCTTCAAAAGCACAGAGCATGTCCAGTTATAGTATTATAGGAAGCACTCTGCACATGCTCATAGGCAAAAGTGTCACTGTAATGTATAGAAAATAGTCTGCACATGCTCATTAGCTCAGTGTACTAATCTTATAGAAAGCGCCCTATACATCCTCATAAACACAGAGCATGTCCAGTTATAGTATTATAGGAAGCACTCTGCACATGCTCATAGGCACAAAGTGTCACTGTAATGTATAGAAAATAGTCTGCACATGCTCATTAGCTCAGTGTACTAATAATCTTATAGAAAGTGCCCTACACATCCTCATAAACACAGAGCATGTCCAGTTCTAGTATTATAGGAAGCACTCTGCACATGCTCATAGGCACAAAGTGTCATTGCAATGTATTGCAATGTATAGAAAGCACTCTGCACATGCTTCTGGATTCCTCCTCTCTTCTCCTCATCCCAGCTTGGCTATGATGCTAACTAGAAGAGGAAAAGGCCAAGGAGAAGAGAGAAAGAAGGGAACGGAGAAATCCCTGTAGGAGAAGAAGGAGAAGAGTCAGCAGAAGGCAGCTTTTAAGGCAGCAGCAGGACCGCTTGCCCGTGGGCCCTCGGTTCTGCAAAGGGCATTCACGCGATCTCATATACACAAATACACAAACAGAGAGAGGCACAACTGGGCCCAAAGGAGGGAGGGAAGGAGGGAATTCCAGCTAGTGGCAGGAGGGAAACACCAGGGCCAGCTGGCATAGGGGGGAGACCTGCCCACCGGAGTGGCACCTCGGGCGGCTGCAACCATTAGGGACTATGCCCCCCCCCCAGCAGCAGCGGTTGCATTCTGCCAGCATTACATAAGACTCCTTGGCGGTGGGGCGGGAGTGTGCCTGGGGGGCACTGGGTGTGAACCGGCACTGCTGCACAGCGCACTCAGGCTGACTCACACACTCCCAGCCTGGCAGCAGCACTTACATAAGCCAGAGGTTTCTTTATTTTGGGGTGGGGTGGGGGTGTGTGGATCTTATTCTCCAGGCTCTGGGGAGAATGTGGGTCCCTTCTACTGCAAGGAATTGCCTCCTCAAATAAGAACCCTGCCCCCAAATGAAATGGGCCATCCCTCTCCAAATGCTTTGCATCCCAAAACCACGCACATGTCTAACTCTTCATTAGATTGCCGTGTTCGCATTCCCTTGGTAACTGGGTCTGCACATTTTCTTCGGAGACCTAAGGACTGCGTTTCTCAACGCTTGGCTGAAGTTCGAAATCACTGCCAGGCTAGAAATGTGGGGATTGAAGGGAAATGTATGGCGGAGGGAATCCTATAGGGAAAGCAATGCCCTCGTTTTGCCGTCTCTCTACCAGAAACGGTGTGGTGTAGTGTTTTGAGCATCGGACCATGACGAAGACGAGGATTCGAATCTCAGCAACGGGAACCTAATGGTTGACCTGGGGCAAGTCAAATACTCTCAGCTTCAGAAAACTGTGAGAGCTTAAATTGGGAATAAAGGTGCCCATCCTCGACTAGCACTCTGCTATGAACTAGAGATAAATGTACCGTATATACTCGAGTATAAACCGACCTGAATATAAGACGAGGCCAGGCATGTAGCCGGGGGGGGGGGGGGGGCGCTTGGGGGGCTTCAGCCCCCCCCCCCTCCCCCGAAATTTTCATGGTGGTTTGCGAAAAGGCCTTACTGGTGCATTATTTAAACTGTTATGTTTATTCATATCATGATCTGATCACCATACTCAATATATCCCATATGCATGGGGGTATTGGGGTAATGATACAAAAGGTTTGCTAGGCTAGACCCTCTTTCACTCAGACTCAGCCCCCCCGAAACTCAGCCCCCCCAAAACCCCCCCTGAAAAAAATTCAGCCCCCCCCCCCGAAACGAAATCCTGGCTACGGGCCTGGACGAGGCACTTAATTTTGCCACAAAAAACCCTGGGGAAACGTACTGACTCAAGTATAAGGTGAGGGTGGGAGATGCAAGTTACTGAGAGATTCCAAAATCAAAATAGATACCACTAAAATTACATTAATTGAGATTAAATTAAATGTTTTGAGTATTTACATAAAACTGTAATTAAAGGTAAAACTGTCCAACTCTGATTAAACCATTGTTCTAACCTTCTTCAATGTAAATGTGCTTACATATCCTTCCAATAATAATAAAGAGTAAAATAATAAATGTAATAATAAAAAAGCAAAATAATGGAAATGTAATAATAATAATAACAGAAAACATAATGAATGTAATAATAACAATAATAAAGTAAAATGATAAATGTAATAAGAATAATAAAGAAACATAATTAATGTAATAATAACAATAATAAAGTAAAATGACAAATGTAATAATAATAATAATAATAATAGAGAAAAATAATAAATGTAATAATAGCAACAATAAAGTAAAATGACAAATGTAATAATAATAATAGAGAAAAATAATAAATGTAATAATGATAATAAAGTAAAATAATGGAAATGTAATAATAATAACAGAGAAAAATAATGAATGTAATAATAACAATAATAAAGTAAAATAATAAATGCAATAATAATAGCAGAAAAATAATGATTGTAATAATACCAATATAATAAAGTAAAATGATAAATGTAATCATAAATAGAAAAACATAATAAATGTAATAATAATAATAAAGTAAAATAATGGAAATGGAATAATAGAGAAACATAATGAATGTAATAATAACAATAATAAAGTAAAATGATAAATGTAATAATAATAATAGAGAAAAATAATGAATGTAATAATAATAATAAAGTAAAATAATAAATGTAATAGAGTAAAATAATAAATGTAAAAATAATAGAGAAATAAATGTAATAATAGAGAAAATAATAAATGCAATCATAACAATAAAGTAAAATAATAAATGTAATAATATTAATAGCGAAAAATAATAAATGTAATAATATATAGAGAAAAATAATAAATGTAATAACAATAATAGAGTACATTCTGTTGGGCGAGTGGGCTAATTAACAAAAGACCCTCCTCATAAATGTACAGCAGAGTAACTCAGCAGCAGCAGCGTGACCCCGCACCAGTAGTCCAAAGTGACAAAGAGAACAAAAATACACAGACCAATGTTATCTCTTCCATAGGACACTTTTCTTTGTAGTAAAATAATATAGTTGCACTGTTTTCAAAAACAAGATTTCCACAACACAAATAAAGTCCTTTATACTTCCCTTCTTTGCTTCCATGCTGGGCTTCTTCCTCATTCAGATAAACAGCTTCGCTCTCACAGAGCCTCCTCTCACAACGAACTTATACTGGAGCGTCACACAGTAGCTTTTTACACACCGTAGCCTTTATACAGGAGCTTTACACACGAGGCTTTACATACGAGGCCTTCAACCTGGAGCTTCTCTCCCTGAAGCTTCTCACACCAGGCCTTCTCACACTCTGAGGTCTTTTCACAGACTAAGGCCTACCTCACACTGTGAGGCCTACCTCACAACGAGGCTTCTCTCACAGATCAAGGCCTATCTCACTCTGTGAGGCCTTCTCTCAGACTGAGACATTTTCTCCCACTGAGGTTTACCTCTGAATGACAGCTCCTAAACTACAGGCACACCTGCTTATATAGAACTGTAGCTTTTGCTGAGTTGTTGCATTCATTTATCCCTTTCAGTGCATGTCTCAGATTTTTGTAATTAAAAATAATTACTGCATATACTTGAGTATAAGCCTTTTTTAGGCTGAAAAAGCTCTCCTCGGCTTATACTCGAGTCAGGGTTATTTATTATTTTACTCTATTATTATTATTATTATTATCATCATCATCATCATCATCATCATCATCATCATCACATTTATAGGTTAACTTTATTATTTTTATTATTATTACATTTATTATTTTACTCTATGATTATTGGAAGGATACGTAAACACATATACATTGAAGAAGGTTAGTCAGAGTTGGACAGTCTTATCTTACAGTTTTATGTAAATATTAATAAACATTCAACCTACTGATGCTTCAATTAATGTAATTTTATTGTTATCTATTTTTATTTTGAAAATTGTATTAGTATCTATTTTTATTTTGAAACTGACCCATAACTGCTGCATTTCCCATCCTCACCTTATACTCAAGTCAATAAGTTTTCCCAGTTTTTTGTGGTAAAATCAGGTGCCTCGGCTTATATTTGGGTCGGCTTATACTCGAGAATATACGGTAGTTAATTTTTAATACTTCTGACACATTCTCTATTCCGTCGGGGCCCCATAGAGAATCGAGAAAAAAGCAAGAGAGACCTTTAACGTTTTAATAATTATCACCAGTCGTAGACTGATACAAAATGAAATATATATATATATATATACTGTATGTAAAACATCACACACCATTATTGCTCATCACGAACAGCTTTGGCTTTTCAGAGAAGGGAGGATAGAAGACAGGGATAGAAGTCTTCCAGGAAATGCTCCAGAGAGGACTTCTTAGCATCTTACCACCTGCAAGTGTGATGCTCATGGCCACCTGTGCATGTGCAAACTGCCTCACAAGGGGGAAGAATGCCCTTGGAGGCCAACACCCTGAGAGGCATGGAAGTCTCTTGGAGAGGGACGGGATTCACTGAGCAGAGGAAGGCGATATAGGGAAGGAGCACATCTTTGGAGAAGGGGATGCTTGGCAGCAAGAATGTTTGTCCCAGAACTTGATCAATGGCCCCCAAAACACAAGGCACACCAGTGGAAGGTCCAGAGAGAGACACAGCACAGAGCTGCATCCCACCTGGTAAGGAGGAGAGGCATCCTTGCTTGCAAAAGCGACGTGAAAAACTTGGAAATGGTTGCTGCCGGTGCCATTGTTCCCTTCACCACAGAAGAGGTCAAAAGGAGGTTTCACTGAGCCGCTGTCGGGATGGAGCCAGAGGCAGGCTGGGGGACTCTGGGGAAGCCGGGCTCAGGCTGGGAGTTCTTTGGACAGCAGGGCTGGCACTGACCCGCCCGTGCCTGGCTCTGGCCCCCAGCTCCCTGGAGCGGTTGACCCATGGACTTTCGGGCTGAGCAGGGTCTGAGGAGGAGGAGGAGGAAGAGGAACGGGCCAGCTCCTGGCAGCGCTCAATGAAGTTCCCACCTTGACGTCTCCTGTTGAGGGCTCCGCGTTGCAAGTCAGGTGGGGCCAGAGGCTCCGGGTTCAACCGGGAAGGAAGGACTGGGGAGGCCCTCACTGGCTTGTCCCGGGCTCCGCTGACACTTTGGAACTGGAGGCTGCTAGGAGGACAAAGGCAGGTTATGGTTTCTTTTATTTTTTAAATATATTTTTATTGGTTTTCTTAGAATACATCAATACATCAATACCTTCAATACTCTTATATTCAATCCTCAATTGATTACACCAACTATAAGTGTGTATACTTTTTTTACATTCTCTTTCCAAAATACCATTTCTTCTTGTGGAGGTAATTTCCCATCTACTTCTTTTAAGCCATTCTCAATAAATTTTCCCCAAACTTCATCAAAATCATTTTCCTTCCATACCCCTTTCCTGACTCTTAACCTACATGTCCATTTACCATTTATTGCTATTTTCCATACTTCTTTATACCATTCTTCAATTGATATATTTATTTTACCTTTCCAATCCTTCGCTATCAGTAATCTTGCTGCAGTTAACATGTTATCTATTGCATCTTTCTCTGTTTTTTTCAATTTCTTACCATTATATAGTGACAACAATGCAATGCATGCACTTTTCCCTATCTTCATATCCATTATAGCTTCTATCTCTCCAAATACCTTCCCCCAAAATTCATTTACATATTTACATTGCCACCACATATGTATATATGTACCCACCTCCTGGCAACCTCTCCAACAATTTTTGTGGCATCCGTATTAATATTAGCAATCTTTACTGGTGTTAAGTACCATTTCCAAACCAATTTATAATATTTTTCTTTAACACGTATCGATAAATTCTTTAAATATCTTTGATCCCATAATTGTACCCAATCCACTTCTTTTATTCTAATCCCTAGGTCTTCCTCCCATATCTCTTAATGTTGCATCCTTTATTTTTCCCCCTTAATATCAAGAATATAGATAAAATTGCAGATTGGATAAAAACAAACATGAGGAAAGAAACTATATCGCGAGAATTTAGAGATGTTAAACTCTCATGGTTCCATTGCTTACAACGAGAGCAATAGTTCAAGAATTGGATAAAAAATAATGGGGAAGGAGGCAAACTTATGCAAGTTGAACAAAGGATACTAAAAGAAAGAGCTACAGGAGGATACCATAAGCTGAAAGGAATAGCCAGCAAATTGTATAAGATAATAAAGGCAGGTTACAGTTTCTAAAAGGAGTTCCATTTGTCTGTTGCAGGAAAGAAAGGGGAACATTCTGCTACAGAATCTCCAAAGTAAAAAAAGCAGAATTATGACAGTGGCTTGCTGTGAGTTTTCCGGGCTGTATGGGCATGCTCCTAAAGCATTCCCTCCTAATGTTTTGCTCACATCTATGGCAGACACCCTCAGGGGTTGTGAGGTATATCGGAAACTAGCCAAGGGAAGTTTATATATTGCTGAAGGCTTTCATGGCCAGAATCACTGGGTTGTTGTAGGTTTTTTGGGCTATATGGCCATGTTCTAGAAGCATTCTCTCCTGACGTTTCACCTGCATCTATGGCAAGCATCCTCACTACCTCTGAGGATGCTTGCCATAGATGCAGGCGAAACGTCAGGCGGGAATGCCTCTAGAACAGGGGTCCTCAAACTTTTTAAACAGAGGGCCAGGTCAGAGTCCCTCAAACTGTTGGAGGGCCAGATTATAACATGAAAAAAATATGAATGAATTCTTATGCACACTGCACATATCTTATTTGTACTGCAAAAACACTTAAAACAATATAATAATTAAAATGAAGAACAATTTTAACAAATATAAACTTATTAGTATTTCAATGGGAAGTGTGGGCCTGCTTTTGGCTGATGAGATAGTGTTGTTGTTGTTGTTGTTGTTGTTGTTGTTGTTGTTGTGTGCTTTCAAGTCGTTTCAGACTTACATTGATCCTGAGCGAGGGCCGGGTAAATGACCTTGGAGGGCCATATCCGGCCCCCGGGCCTTAGTTTGAGGACCCCTGCTCTAGAACATGGCCATATAGCCCAAAAAAATCTACAACAACCCAGAAGTTTATATACCAAAGTTTCAGCTACAAGAAAGAAGATGGGGAAGCCATAGCTCTCTCCCCATGTTGCAAGATTTGAGGTTCCATATGAAAAACTCAGACAGGTATAGGTATTTGCTCAAAATACAGGGTAGGTTGTTCTTGGTCCATCCCGTGATGCTCGTAAATGAGGCACAACTCACAGGTGGGCTCACTCCCAAGTCAGGAATCTCTAACTTTAGGTGAGGGCCAGAGTAGGGGGCTTTTCTACACCTCCCCTTCCCAATAAATGTGCATGGTGCAACCAGTCTCTACCTGACACTGGCAGCTGTGGGAGGATGCGTGGGGGTGAACGATCCAGCCGGGCTCATCTCGAGGGTGTGGGTGAGTGCCAAGTCACACTGTTTCAGCTCCTGCAACAGCTCCTCCTCCGAGAGGCCGCCTGAATCTGAAGGATGGATGCAAAAAAGGTGGGAGCTTGTTAGCTGCAGTAATAATATATTGTAATATTTATAATATTATAATGTAATGCAATATAATAATAATAACAATATAATTATATATTTATATTACATGTAATATTACTAATAATATTACGATATAGTGGTATGGTGCAATATAGTAATATATAATACTGATATTGTACTATGCTAATAATATAATATATTGTATGCAATATATACCTTGTAAGCCGCTCTGAGTCCCCTTCGGGGTGACAAAAGCGGCATACAAATGTCGTAAATAAATAAATAAAAAATAAACAAATATGCGTGGGAGGGGAAAATATGCCTAAGCAGGTGCTATTCAGCCAGCCAAAGTCTCCAGGGAAGCTTTGAGTAACCAATAGTGGAGTCTTGATGGTCCAATGGGTTAAACCCTTGTGCCGGCAGGACTGCTGACCAAAAATTCAGTGGTTCAAATCTGGGGAGTGGAGTGAGCTCTCATCTGTCAGCTCCAGCTTCCCATGAGGGGAGATGAGAGAAGCCTCCCACAGGATGTAAAACAATCAGGCATCCCCTGGGCAACGTCCTTGCAGACAGCCAATTCTCTCACGCCAGAAGTGACTTGCAGTTTTTCAAGTCACTCCTGACACACACACACACAAAAGAAGCCACCCACAAGCACAGCCATTCACTCTAGAGTACTCTGCCCAGAATCCCACTCTGCCCGCTTACGCACTTGGTGCTTGGTCCACCATTTCCATAGCAGTTGTGAGGTCCCACATCTGGAGGCTCCCATTGCTGTGGCCAGTGAAGAGGTAGCGGCGCGGGCGGGATCCAATGCGGCTGGAACCCTCGCACTCCTGCACCATGAAGGCTGTGATGGGCGAACCGTCCACGGAGCGCACTTCGCAGACCCTATTATGGGAAGGAAAAAGAAAAGGAGCCCTGGGTGGGGAGCTCAAAAGAAGGCAAGTTGGTGGAGGAAAGGCACAAAGCAAAAGTATGATAGCTGGGACCTTACACTGGTTGCGCAACGCGGGTCTAAATTAATGAGGGGAACACATGCGTGAGACAGCGCAGAGAGTGAGAGACGCAGCTGCATCAGAGTAGTGGCGACATTGTTCGCCAGAAAGGAAGAGAGGTAACATTTCTATCCTGTTTACTGTCTTTGTAAACCGTTGTTTATCATTTAACATTAAATAACTCTTACATTATTTCACCCTTACCCTTTCCCACTTGAGTTAAATTACTTCACTGCTTTCCTGTCACAGCTGCGTCTCTCACTCGCGCATGTCTTCCCTTCAATAAGTCTGAGCCGCGTTGCATAACTAGCATAGCGTGGGGTCCCAGCAATCATACTTTTGCCAGGCACCTGAACCACAGAAAGATTGTTTTTAATACTTCCAGAGGCGATGCATGGCTTCCAAAGTAGAAACAGCATAGCAAAGGTCAAGGTTGCATAGAATAAATACACCTCTTGCCAACCCTACTAGAAGTCTTTTCAAAATAAAGGATCTTTTCCATATGTGGGTTTGTTTCTTTTTTGTGTCATGAGTGACTTCAGAAACTTCAAGTCGCTTCTGGTGTGAGAAACTTGGCCATCTGCAAGGATGTTGTCCAGGAGATGCCCGGATGTTTTTGTTTTTTTTATGTTTTCACCATCCTATGGGAGACTTCTTTCATGTCCCCGCATGGGGAGCTGGAGCTGACAGAAGGAGCTCACCTGCTGTCCCAGATTCGAACCGCTGGCCTATTGGTCAGCAGTCCTGCTGGTGCAAGGGTTTAACCCAGTCCACAACCTGGGGCTCCCATATGTGGGTGAAAAACAACTCTTCTAAAAAAACCTGGCAAAATTGCTCATGGCCAACCATCTCAGCACCTCATCTTCATTTCTAAGCCAAAGAGCCGGCGTTGTCCGTAGACACCTCCAAGGCCGGCATGGCTGCATGGAGCACCGTTATTTAATTATGCAGCTTAGTGACCCCCAAATAAGATGCTGGTTCTTAAACTGGGATGGATATAGCATGACCTGCACGCAGCCTGATTTGAGGGCAGTTTTGGAAAACTTTCCCAATGCTTGCAAAGCCACAAAAATAATCCCACCCACCAGTACCTTGCACTACCTTCAAAAACCTGTTTTCTTTCTCAATTCCCCTCAAAATGGTGACTGAAAGTGATACGACATCATCTCCTGCTGCCATTTTGAGAAGTATTGATAATGAAAACTGTGAGAGCTGTTCAGCAGTGGAACTCTCTGCCCCAGAGTGTGGTGGAGGCTCCTTCTTTGGAGGCTTTTAAACAGAGGCTGGATGGCCATCTGTCGGGGGTGCTTTGAATGCAATTTTCCTGCTTCTTGGCAGGGGGCTGGACTGGATGGCCCATGAGGTCTCTTCCAACTCTTTGATTCTATGATTCTCTGCCCTGAACAGTCCTGGGCTCCAGCAGACCCACCTCTTCCCCGTAGAGGACAGCCGCACATACAGCTTGCTAGCATCTGGCACCACCTTCTGGAGGAACACTTGCTGGTCATCCCGTTCACCAAAAGGACCTGCAGGTAAGAAGACACAGAAACCAAGGCCAGAGGCATCAAGACTGAGAAGGCCCAGGAACGGAGAAATTTCAGCAACCCCTGAAGGTCAATCCCTTTCATCCCTACCTACCAATGTCTGTGCCAGCACTGCAACCCCCATGCCCATCGACAGATTCCAGGGCTAAGATCTTGAAGGAGGCCAGTGGTGTGGAGCCAGGCTGGGTGGAGATCATCCCACGGAACCGGGTCACCGTCCAGGTACGGACATGATTGTTGTCAGCACAGACTGGAAGAGGGAATGGGGCAAAGGTGTAAAATGGGAATAGAAGTCCATTTTATATGGCTGGCTCCATCTATTAAGGCGGCATTTCTCAACTTGGGGATCAGGACCCCTGGAGGGGTCGTGAGTGGATTTCAGAAGGGTCGCCAAAGACCATCAGAAAACATATATTTCAAATGGTCTTAGGAACCCTTTTGGCAGAGAAGGCTGAAGACCTCTCCGCCAGTCCTTGTCTTCCTTTTTGGAAACAGACGGTGAATCCTCCCACCAAAAGCCCTCCTCTACTGTAACTGGCCAGCCTTTCAGCCAATGGGAGGGCTGTTTTTGAGACTCCAAGCAGGGAGGGGAGAGCAGGCGTGCTCAGTGCATGGTGCGCATGTTCAGGCGAGGGAGAAAACGCAAGCCTGGAGGGAGGCTTGCGCCAGCAAGTACCTTCAAGGCATTGGGGTTCTGTGTGGGAAGTTTGGCCCAATTCTATCGTTCGTGGGGTTCAAGCAGCTCCTTGATTGTAGGTGAACTATAAATCCCAGCAACTACAACTCCTATGTCAAGGTCTGTTTTCCCCAAACTCCATCTGAACATTAGGAAGAACTTCCTGACTGTGAGCGCTGTTCAGCAGTGGAACTCTCTGCCCCGGAGTGTGGTGGAGGCTCCTTCTTTGGAGGCTTTTAAACAGAGGCTGGATTGCCATCTGTCAGGGGTGATTTGAATGCAATATTCCTGCTTCTTGGCAGGGGGTTGGACTGGATGGCCCATGAGGTCTCTTCCAACTCTATGATTCTATGATTCTATCCATCCATTGTTCACATTTGGGCATATTGAGTATTTGTGCCAAGTTTGGTCCAGATCCATCATTATTTGAGTCCACAGTGCTCTCTGGATGTAGGTGAACTACAACTCCAAACTCAAGGTCAATGCCCACCAAACCCTTCCAGTATTTTCTGTTGGTCATGGGAGTTCTGTGTGCCAAGTTTGGTTCAATTCCATCATTGGTGGAATTCAGAATGCTCTTTAATTGTAAAAAGTAAAGGTTTTCTCCTAACTTTAAGTCCAGTCATGTCCGACTCTGGGGGTTGGTGCTCATCTCCATTTCTAAGCCAAAGAGCCGGTGTTGTCCATAGACACCTCCAAGGTCATGTGGCTGGCATGACTGGAGCGCTGTTACCTTCCCGCCAGAACGGTACCTATGATCTGCTCCCATGTTTTCGAACTGCTAGGTTGGCAGAAGCTGGGGCTGACAGCAGGAGCTCACGCCGCTCCCTAGATTCAAACTTGCGACTTTTCAGTAAGCAAGTTCAGCAGCTCAACAGTTTAACCCACTGCACCACCGGGGGCTTTGACTGTAGGTTAGCTATAAATCTCAGCAACTTCAACTCCCAAATGACAAAATCAACCTCCCCCTGCCCCAACCCCACCAGTATTCAAATTTGGGCTTATCGGGTATTTGTGCCAAATTTGATCCAGTGAATGAAAATACATCCTGCATATTAGTGATATTACAATTCATAACAGTAGCAAAATTACAGTTATGAAATAGAAACGAAAATAATTTTATGGTTGGGGGTCAACACAACATGAGGAACTGTATTAAGGGGTTGCGCCATTAGGAAGGTTGAGAAACATTGTATTAAGGTTTGTCAGTCATCTTGTGGCCCACTGCATCCATCCCCCCTGTTAAACATCATCAGCTGGTACCTGAGATGAGGTGCCTCTCTGAGAGCATCACTTTGGTGACTGGGCTGCGGTGGACAGCAAAAGTCTGGAAGAGCTGGGGCCCTGAACCCACAGTCTCCGGGTGCCTGACTATCACCCGCACTGTCCCTGAGCTGGTGCCATAGGCAATCTCAATCCAATTCCCACTGTCGCCTGTGGAAAAAAGCAAAACATTCATTTGGAGCAGTGTTTCTCAACCTGGGGGTCGGGACCCCTGGGGGGGGGGTCACGAGGGGGTGTCAGAGGGGTCGCCAAAGACCATCTGAAAACATAGTATTTTCTGTTGGTCATAGGGGTTCTGTGTGGAAAGTTTGGCCCAATTCTATCATTGGTGGGGATTGGAATGATATTTTATTGTAGGTGAACGATAAATCCCAGCAACTACAACTCCCAAATGTCAAGGTCTATTTTCCCCAAACTCCACCAATGTTTATTGGTGGGCATGTTGAGTATTCATGGCAAGTTTGGTCCAGATTTATCATTGTGTGAGTCCATAGTGTTCTCTGGATGTAGGTGAACTACAACTCCAAACCTCAAGGTCAATGCCCACCAAACCTTTCCAGTATTTTCTGTTAGTCAAGGGAGTTCTGTGTGGCAAGATTGGTTCAATTCCATTTTTGGAGTTCATAATGCTCTTTGATTGTAAATAAACTATAAATCCCAGCAACTACAACTCCCAAATGATAACATCAATCCCCTGCCAACCCCACCAGTATTCAAATTGGGGCATATCATGTATTTGTGCCAAATATGGTCCAGTGAATGAAAATACATCCTGCATATCAGATATTTATATTATGATTCATAACAGTAGCAAAATAGTAGTTGTGAAGTAGCAACGAAAATAATTTTATAGTTGGGGGTCACCACAACATGAGGAACTGTATTAAGGGGTTGCGGCATTAGAAAGGTTGAGAACCACTGATTTGGAGGGTGGTGCTGGTCTCACTCCTATAGGCAAAGATGGGGTGCTTGTTCTCATGTGCTGTCAAGTTATCTTTGATGTACAGTGACCATGGCACAGGATTTTCTCAGCCAGAATTATTCAGGGGTTTGCTGTTGTCTTCCTCTTAGGCTGAGAGAATGTCACTTGCCCATGGCCACCCAGAATCCTAGTCCAGCAGTAGCTGAAGTCCAAAACATCTGGAGGAGCAGAGCCTCAGGCAAGACACTTAATATTTTACTATTCTTGAAGTGAGGAACAAGCCAACCACAATCTGAAGGGCCAGGATGATAGAGCAAGGCAGAAAATCCAGGAGTTGGGAAGGCAGGCAAGGCAAGTGTCAAAGGCAGGGGTCCTCAAACTAAGGCCCGGGGGCCGGATGTGGCCCTCCTAGGTCATTTACCCAGCCCTCACTCAGGGTCAACCTAAGTCTTAAATGACTTGAAAGCACAAAACAACAACAACAATCCTATCTCATCAGCCAAAGCAAGTCCACACTTCCCATTGAAATACTAATAAGTTTATATTTGTTAAAATTGTTCTTCATTTTAATTATTGTATTGTTTTTCAGTGTTTTTTGCACTAAAAATAAGATATGTGCAGTGTGCATAGGAATTCATTCATGCTTTTTTCAAATTATAATCCGGCCTTCCAACAGTTTGAGTGACTGTGACCTGGCCCCTTTAAAAAGTTTGAGGACCCCTGGTCTAAGCAAACAAGGAGAGGGAAAACAGTGCAGCGTTCCTGGATTCAAGCTCTACTCCTTACTGCTTTTTGGTGTGAGATAGACGCTGAGTGCAGTGATGGCATCCTCAGAGGGGTCACGGTACAGCTCTGTCACAAGAAGGTCGTTGTCCTTCATGCGCAGCGGGAACTTCTGCACATCTGTTTGGAGAAGGGGAAAGAAAGTGCATGGCACAGGTAGCCAAGTGGGCAAACTCAGGCTCCAGTCACTAATTTCTCCCCTGCCTCCCACGCTGTGCATTGCTCTGCCAACAACTTGGTGTTAGAACTTGGGCATGCCTAGAACTGGTATCCCTCCATTCAACCTACCTACATAGTAGATAGAACCATTGTTGCATCCCAAGAGGAGGAAGGAACCAGCAGCATCATAGCTGTTGATTGGGACCATCTCCTGAGTCTGTGGAAGCAGAAATAATTGTCAGATGAGATTGGGTGGGTAGGTGGGTGCTTCTGTATATGGAGCTTCTGAGCCTTAAAGCATCCTTCTTTGGTCACTCTCCTGCTTTGGCCAGCTGCTGCCAGAAAGATCCAAACCCTACAGCAGGCTGACAGGAAGGGAGTCCTCCCACCTGCCCCTCTCCTCACCTGCCAGTGCTTGGTGACGGCATTCCAGACGCCAATCTTGCCCGTGTGGCTGGTGGCAATGAGCTGGCAGCCCACAAAGAGTAGGCCTTCTACAGGAACACCCAAGTGGAATACACCTAGCAAGAAGATACAGAACATCAGAGAGGAACATGAGACAGACCAACTCTCCGTTCCAATAGGAGCCAACCAGTTCATCAGAAGATTTGAATCTCTTAGTGACTTAATTGTATTTTATGATGAGCTACCTTGGGTCCCTTTCTGGGGAGAAAGGCTAAAAGTCAATTGGAATTTTTTTTAAAAAAAAAAAACAACATCCAAGGGTGTTTTTATTTATTATTGATTTATTTACTGCATTGTATACCGCTTTTCTCAGCCAGAGGCAACTCAAGGCGGTTCAGAGTCGGAAGCAATTCGATTCCATAACAAATATCAGGATACAGTTAAAAACACCGGGATTGTGGTGCAGCTGGCTGAGTGTTAGCTGCATTAAGATCACTCTGACCAAAAGGTCATGAGTTCGAAGCCAGCCCGGGTTGGAGTGGGTTTCCAACCAATTGCGTGTAGCCTGTTGTTGACCTTTGCAACTCGAAAGACAGTTGCATCTGTCAAGTAGGAAAATAAGGTACCACCTTAAAAGTGTGGGGAGGCTAAATTAACTGATTTATGAGGCTATAAAGAAGACTCCAGCAAAGCATTCCAGCGGGGAAGCATGCGGGGTATGCGGAAGTGCTTCATCAGCATCACAGATGGACAATGAAAATGACAGCTCCCCTGGCGGCCAGAAAAAGTTAAATAGCCTCTGTGTATGTCAGTATATGTTTGTATGTCAAAAATTGGCATTGAATGTTTGCCATATATGTGTACACTGTAATCCACCCTGAGTCCCCTGCGGGGTGAGAAGGGCGGTATATAAAAGCTGTAAATAAATAAAATAAATAAATAAAAACAGTTATAAAAAACAGTTCAACAATAAAAATATAAAAAAACAATAATATCTATGAAAACAAATCCTCAACGTCTCCTTACTGAAATTGTGATCCAATTGCATCGTCAGACATCCCATGATTCATTTTCGTCTAATTATGCTCCAGTAGTAAAAGCCTGCTCGAAAGCCAAGTCTTAATCATCTTGCGCAATGTTAAAAGGGAGGGAGCTGATCCAATATCCCTGGGGAGGGCATTCCATAACCGAGGGGCCACCACTGAGAAGGCCCTGTATCTCATCCCCGCCAAACGCGTTTGCAAGGAAGGTGGGATCTCTCTATATGGATAATTATATGTATATAGGATCTGCAGATATTTGTAAACATGTGAGGGGACAATTCATATAAAAATAATGTATTCACATAGATACAGATATACAAGTACATGGAAATCTCTATATATCTATAGGATTAGATATATATAGGATCTGCAAATACCTGCAAATATACGAGGGGAAATCTTCCAAGGGAACAAAAATGCACATATAAAGTTAATACATTTAGATACACACAAAAAGCCAGGAAATTAGGTGGGTGTGAAAGAGAGCCATACAAACAAGGAGGACATCAAATATATCTCCTTTCCTGCCTTCCCTCCCTTTTGAGTGGAAAGCACACTGTCAAGGGAGGTGAAGAGGAGAGAGAAATATATCATATACTAGCCGTCCCCTGCCACGTGTTGCTGTGGCTCAGTTTGTGTTTATGTGTTTTGTGGGTATATATGTGTGTTTATGTTTGTATATATGTGTGTTTGCGTATGTATATGTGTGTGTGTGGTTTTGTGCATGCGTTATAATGTATTTTTGTTTTTGGGGTTTTAAGTCTCTTCTGTTGTGTTTTTCAGTGTTTTTATGAGTGATGGTCACTCGTCGGCTTGATAAGTGTATTTTGTCCAAATTTGGTGTCAATTCGTCCAGTGGTTTTTGAGTTCTGTTAATCCCACAAACGAATATTACATTTTTATTGATATAGATTGCAAGCAATGGCCTCTGGGCCCTGCTCTCCAGCTTGACCCCATTATAAGCTGAGAGAGGCTTTTTCAGCTCAAAAACAAGGGCTGAAAAACTTGGCTTATCTTTGAGTATATACGGTAAATGGGATATATTTATGTGTGTTGTTATCGAGATGATTTGTATAATTATATTGTTGCGAGCTGCTCCAAGTCCTCTCAGGGAGATGGGGCGGGATACAAATAAAGTTGTTGTTGTTTTTGTTATTATTATTAAGTCCATGTGTCTAAAACAACAATAGTGGGTTGCCAAAGCATAACCTGGTCCTATGAACATGGCTTCTGCTCTGTCCCAACTTTCTCACCAATCTCAACGCCATTCCCATCAGGCTGGATTGCCCACAAGAGGATCTCACTGCAGGAAGCGGCCGCCACCATCTTGTCACTGTCACCCAGTGAGCCGCCAAGAACTCGGGCATTCAGTGCCACCCGTTCAATGACCCAGTCCAACCGGGGGCTGCAGAACGCCAGCTGCCAACCAGAGGTCTCTTTCATCCTGTGCAGCAAAGAGCAGACTGTGAGGGAGCAGAAAAAGGTATCTCTGTTCCACCACCCCATCTCCCAAAAAGGCATGTACCTGTAACAGACGAGAAACTGAGCATAGGCCACTGCTATCCAGTTGTGGTGCCCACATACAAGACGCACCATCCCTGGATCATTCGTAGTTCCTGGGAGGGAAGATGGAGGCATACAGAAGCTCTGAGAAAGGATTTTCCCTACTACCTTCTCCCTAAAACAGAGTTTGGGTCCGACAATAACATTCCCACTAGCCAACCGCCACCCTATTTCAAGCTGTTCCTGTGCTGTGAAGTTTCCACCACGAGGAAAAACGCACATTCTATTGTCTTTCCTTCCTGGCACAGCATTTACCTGCCGCTGAACTTCTCTCCTCCAACAACCGCCCCAGCAGCCCAGCATTTCCAAGGTTGGGGGGCATAGTGTTGCTTCGGCGCACAAGAGCTCGCTCCACGGGGTTCCCCGACCGGGCAGCCAACTGAGCTCCTGTGACGCTGTGGCGGTTCCATCGCTTGATGGGGAACACTGGAATGAAAAAGGAGAAGGCACTGTTGGCTACATTCCTAAGTTGCAATGGCCTCTTCAGTCCTCAAAGTAAAGTTTCACCCAATCTCATTCCTTTCCCAAGGCTCAGGTCCAGATTATCTGAAGGACCAGATCCTCCCATGTGAACCTGACCGTATGTTAATGTCTAAGGTGGCCCTTCCTTCTGCCCCTTGCAAAGTGGAGACATAGGAGAGTGCCTGCTCCCAGATTCTTGAACTTCCAGTTAAATTGGCACCTTCCTTATCATTATTCCGCTGGCAGGCAGAATATGTTCTTTGAGAGGTGAATTTTTAAGGGGAAATAGATCTTGTACAAATTTCTAGATCTTGTTTTTGTTTTAATGTTGGAATTCAACCCCACACTGCCCAAGTCTCAAGTCCTCAACAACAAGCAGCTAGTTAGTTTAGTATAGACCAGTGGCTCCAACTGTTTTTTGACCAGGGCCCACTTTAACTAGGGTCCATTTGATCAAGAACCACTTTTATCAGGGAGCACTTTGACAAGGGATCACTTGACTGGGAACCACTTTGGCCAGGAACCACTTGACCAGGGCCCACTTTGATCAGGGACCATTTGTCTAAGAACCACTTTGATCAGGGACCACTTTGACCAGGGCCCACTTCAACCAGGAACCATTTTGACCAGAGACCATTTGACTGGGAACCACTTTGATCAGGGACCACTTTGTCCAAGTACCACTTGACCAGGGACCACTCTCCAACATTAATTCCAAAAGGGGCAAGGCTGCTCAGCTCTGCGGAAAGGAGTGGAAATAAATAAATTAAAATAAAATAAAATTTAAAAAGAGGAAGGAGGTTTGCAGACCAGATTTTCATTTTTGTGGCCCATTGTTGGGCCACAGCCCACACTTTGAGAAGCACTGGTATAGATTAAGGGTTTCCTTTCCCCCATGTTTCCTGTATGACAGTTGGGGATGTACCTATTTTCTTCTCTCTCTCCCCCCCTCTCCCCCCCCTCTGTTTCAGCTCTCACTGATTGGTTGTTTAAAATGGAAACTTTTCTACCTAAATACTTTTTGAATCTGACTTCTGCCATCTTACACTTTAGGATGGAGGGTACGTGCTGTGTGCTTTGAGATCTCTCTCTGCTTTTGTGTCAGGAGAGATGTAGTGATTGTTTTCCCCACCCTTTGAAACCTTAGAAAAGATGAGTATTAGAGTAGCTGAGACCCAGTTCTTGATTATTAAGACATGCAGTTATTTCTTATTATTGTAAATAAACCTTTTGTGATTTTTAAGACTGGACTCTGTATGTTTGCCTCCGAAGTTCTGAATTCTTTACAGACACATCACATGGGACCTTGCGCTTAGCTAGCTAATGAGCTGATGCTCAACTATAGGTATCCTGTTTTTCTTTTTGGATGCTCTGCTAATCATAGTGTTGTGTTCCCTAACATTTAATGGTTGATGTTTTTAGTTGCTCTAAATTGTTTAATTACTTTTTCTGTCAATTTTTTTAATCTATGTTAGAATTGTTTGTATGCCTTGAATCTTAAACTGGAAGAAAAAACAAGAGATAAATATAACAACAACAACAAAGTGAAGCTACCCAGTACCTGGTGGGGGCAAGTAGCCATTGAAAAGAACACTCCCGCAGGATGACCGTTCTAATTCCTCATGCAGCTGCAGTCGACGCACTAAGGGACATGAGATGAAGAAAGGAGCTCAGACAAGGAAGCACTTGCCTCTGGAACATCAACCACTATCATCCACACAACCAGCCAACCTGCCTATTATGGTTCAGACAGAGGCTGAAGACTAGGGGATTGTTCGATCAGGGTTTGTGAGGGCTGATAGGCTTTTCGATGTGGGAAATGAGGGGAGTTTAGATGAGGATTCTGTCTGGGAGAATGGGTCTGTGTCTTCGGAGAGAGAAAAGGCTTCAGAGCAGAGCAGAGATGCTGTGGCACCGGAAGATAAGGAGCTAGAAGGGAGAGATCTTTTTCCAGGGAAAACACCTGCGGTCAGTAGGTGATGCTTATGTGCTTATGTGAGGCCGCCCTGAGTTCCTTTATGGGGAGAAGGGCGGGGTAGAAATGTATGAAATAAATAAATAAGAGCTGGAGGCTCAATCTCCTGGAGGAGGGAGCCAGATTATGGAGGCCACAGAGACTTTGTGAGAAATCCGTGAAACAACAGAGTAGATGTCAAAGACACGACTTTATGGCTTGGTGGTCCTTCAATTAAAGTGTTTTTATTAAAAGGGTTAGAGCAAGCAACGCTGCATTCCCGTATACACCTTGGTCTTATTACACGTTCAAGTCTATGTTTAAGTTCCTTGGGAAAGTTTTGTGCTCAAGTTCATGGATTTGTGTTTTGAAAGAGGTTCCTGTATGAGGTTATGGATTTATGCTGATGTCCCAACATCCTCCTCGCATACTTCGCACTCCTTGTTTTCAAGACCGATGCCCCTACCACCACCCAGGCATACCTAGTGGTGTGATCCCATAGAACTGTGCCTCATGCAACAGCAAGGAAACATTGGTCCTCCTGTAGGGACAAAATGGATGAGCTGTGATGATTTACCCATAGCTATGAAAAGGCAATAGGGAACCTAAGGCTTCGAGGCTGGAGTTGCAGCACACTTGCTGATGCTTCCCCAGCCCTCAAGCAGGCTGCATGGACCTTCACATCGCACCTGATATCAAGCTCTTTGGTCCGAAGAAAGTTTAGGATGGGGGCAAAGACTTCTGGATCCCGGTCAATGAAGATCTAAAAGGAAAGAAAAAAGGTGCAATTTAGCTAGAGTTTGCATTCATCCTCTTGCTATCTGAATAGTTTTCAGCCCATGTACATTCTCTGCCTTCTGTATATTCCACACTTAGTGTTGTCCAGCCAACTGAAGGAAAGCAATGCCCTCACTATCCTCACCTCGGATTTTGGGAATGGAGCAGAGGAAGCAGAAGAGGAGAAAAGTGACTCAAAATTACTCACAGCGCCTGTTTCATCCTTCAAGGTAGAGATCCGGCCACTGAGGAGGCTGCAATAAAAAAATAAGGTCATATTTTGATATCTTTGAAGAATTGGTCCCAACTTTCTTTTATTTATTTATTTATTTATTTATTTATTTACTATATTTATATACCACCCCTCTCAGCCCAGAGGCAACTTGGAGCGGTTCACAAATTGGCAACAATTCAATGCCTCAACAATTATAACAAGTAAAAACAACCAAGAAATTCTGTTAAAAGCAATAATATATGATATAAAAAACTGTACAAAGTGTCTCCATGTCAAATCATTATTGCATTGCGCTATCAAGTAGTTCCATAATTCTGTTTAGCTATGCCGTATTTGGGAAGACCTGCTCAAAAAGCCAGGTTTTCACCTTTTTTCAAAAAGTCAGGAGGGAAGGAGCCGATCCAAAGCAGAGCCTTGTCTTACTGTTAACAGGAGCCCAGCTAGCCTAGGTAAACTTTTTTTTCCATCCCCCCTTCCTAAAAAAAAAGCTCTCCCAGTTGCTCATTTTCCCACCTTCCATAAACTACCACATAAACACTGGGCTCCCATTCCTTCCATTCTTATAATAATAATAATTTAAAGATCAAACTGCAGTCAGTGAAAATGGTCCCAGTAGTGATCAGCACACCAAGTGCATTGCCTAAAGACATTGGCCTGCACTTAAAAAAAAATCGGCGCTGACAAAATTACCATCTGTCAGCTGCAAAAAGCCACCCTACTTGGACCTGTATGCATTATTCACTGATACATCACACAGTCCTAGACACTTGGGAAGTGTCCGATGTGTGATTGAATACAAAAGCCAGCACAGTGATCTTGTTTGCTGTGTACTAATCTTGTTGCATATAAAATAATAATTATTATTTATTTATTTATTTATTTATTTATTTATATCCCCCTTCCCTGGAGGATTCAGAGTGGCTTATATGTTCATGTATCGGTTAAAAACATCAACCCATAAGATTTATCCATCCATTGGTCAATGTGAATATTGTACCTTAATTTTTATTTTAAAAGGAACTATAATAAATAATAATTTTTAAAAAACTTTATTTGTTGACCGCTCTATCTCCCCAAAGGGATTCAGGGCAGTTTCCAACATATATGGCAAACATTCAGTGCCAAAATGGAAAAACATACAAACAAGTTATATCTAAACCGACCACATCAAGCAATATAAAAGCAGCCAACCTTTAAACCTAACAATAGACAAAATAACCGAAGATTAAAACTTAAATGATCCATACAAACATAAACACACTTAATATAAATTTATAGATAAAAACATCTAAAAACAAGTAGTTAAAACTACGACTTTCTCGGAACAGAGTGGTAAAAGGTAAAAGATTAGCCCATTCTTGAAGACCCAAAAAGAAGCACCAACCCCTCTGCTCCCTCCATGATGGCACCACTTCTGGCTTTTTGGTGCTTCCCCCTCTCCATAGTATAATCCTCAACTCATCCACGGGTCTCATCATTTCGGCCCCCAAATCAGCCCTTGATGTATACATAAGATCAGCTTATACGTGAGTACCATACTAACTCAAATACAATGCTCACCTTTTTGGTTTTGAAAATTAAAGTGCGCCTTAGAATGAATGGCAAATTACACTTGCATAAATACAGTATATATGGTAAACTAGATGGGCTCTTCTGTAATGCCAAGCTGCCTACTACAAACACGGGCTACTTCAATGCTTCCCATTATCCCCACCCAAGCCTCCCTTCCCTGCTTCGGTCACCTGGAAAAAAAGGAATCTGGGATCCAAGTGAGGGTCTGGCGAGAAGTACTGAACCTGCAGAGAGGAAAAGGAAAGGGAGAGGGTTAGCATGAAGGCCGATGAAGACAGAAGACAATCCCTCCCGTGCATCACATGGCTCCTTTCACGGGAGAAGCACTATTTGCTCACATCCAGCTCTCCAAAAGAGAAACACTGAACTCCTGGAGGAGAGAGCTGATGGTGGGGTGCTTTTATTTATTTATTTATTTATTTACTTCATTTATATAATGCTTTTCTCACTCCTGGGGGGACTCAAAGCGGTGTACAGCAAGCAATGGCAAAATTCAGTGGCAACATATATACAAACCAAATGACTAAAACGATAACATGTCAGATACAGTCAGCCCCCAATTTACGAACGAGATAGGTTCTATGTCTTGTTGAAGGCTTTCACGGCCGGAATCACTGTGTTGTTGTAGGTTTTTTCAGGCTATATGGCCATGTTCTAGAGGCATTCTCTCCTGACATTTTGCCTGTGTCTATGGCAAGCATCCTCAGAGGTAGTGAGGTCTGTTGGAACTAGGAAAATGGGTTTATATATCTGTGGAATGACCAGGGTGGGACAAAGAACTCTTGTCTGTTGGAGCTAGGTGTGAATGTTTCAACTGACCACCTTGATTAGCATTTGATGGCCTGGCAGTAGTTTGGTGTGGCTTGTTGGTGGCTGGGGCAATCTTTTGTTGGGAGGCAATTAGATTCCCTGATTGTTCCCCCTCTGTTGTTTTGCTGCTGTAATTTTAGAGTTTTTTAATCCAACAAATGCTATGTTCAGCAAAGGACAAGATGGATCCTCTCACTTCTGCAGGAGTCTACTGTATACCATGCAATTGCGGACAAGTCTACATAGGGACCACCAAACGCAGCAGCATTGCCCAAACACGAATCAAGGAACATGAAAGGCACTGAAGACTACTTCAACCAGAGAAGTCAGCCATAGCAGAGCACCTGATGAACTAACCTGGACACAGCATATTATTTGAGAACACGGAAATGCTGGACCACTCTAACAACCATCATGTCAGACTACACAGAGAAGCCATTGAAATCCACAAGCATGTGAACA